ATGAAATGTCCATCAGTCAGCTTCAGGCAACAAACAAATGAGGCTTTAGAGTCTCGAAGAAGCCGGAATACATCAAAAATCCATCAGAAGACGAATTTGGCGAGCGATTGTTGGTATTGTTGTCCGAGTTACATTTCTTTCTTTTTTCTTTTTTTCTTTTTTTATTACGTTTTTCCATCTTGTTTTCTTTTTCTGGTTTACTGCGATTGTCTTTTTTTTATTTTGTTTTTGTATTATTTATTATTGCTTCTTTATTTTTTTGTTATCATTTCTGGTTTTTTTTTCATATTTGTTTTCTTTCATTCTGTTCCCCATTTCTCTCTTTTCTCCTTTGGAGAAATCATTCGATATCTCCTGATTTTTCCTTCCTTGTTTTCTTTATTTTACATTTTTTTTTCTTTCATAGATAGTTTTCATTTATTTTTTCTTCCTGATTTCGTTTCGAATTCTTTGTAATTTCACTTTATTTCTTTCTCAGCCTTCCTTTTTATATCTTGGAATATATTTTTTATTTCTTTTTATTTATTTATTTAATATGGTTATGTTTCAGCGCTGTTTTATCTTTTATTTTCACTTATTCCTTTCGATTCCATTTCAATGTTTTTGCTTCGTTTGCCTTGCATATTATCGCACTCACTCTTTTCTTCAGCATATATTTTTCATGTCATTTGTTTTTCGATTATAAATTTCTCTATTTTGCTTTTTAAATTTTATCCCTACCTTTTCTTTTATTTTCGTATTTCTTTCCTTTCGTCTATTTTTTTTTCTTTTTATCGTTATAGTTTTTGCAGAATTTGTTATTCACTTCCCTGATTTTTTCATCATCCATTTCTTTATTGATACTTTTATTTTATCATTCATCAATTCCTTTTCTTCCTTTTTTATTTCTTAATTGTTTGTTTTTTCTATGTCTTTTTTTCATTTTTTTTATCTTTGTTTCTCTCTCTTCTTCTTTAGAATATATATATATTTTTTTGATTTTGCCTGTTTTTTCTTTGATGGTTTCTTCATTTTACCTTTTTCTCTTTCAATAATACATTTTCTTTCTTTTTTTTATTTATTAATTCATTTCGTCGCTGTCTTGATTCATTCGTTTCTTTGAGGTCGCGTTTTACTTCAGAAGACAGTTCTTCTGATTTTTTTCTACGTTGAATTTTTTTAATTTTATCTTTCAGTTTTCTTTTATTTTTGATTCTTTTCTTATTTCTTTCGGTTTCGTTTCACTTTTTGCGTCCACTTCTTTCTTTTTTTTTTATGTATTTCGATCCCTCTCTCTTTTTCTTTATTATATTTGTTATTTTTTTTTCTTTTTTCCATTTTTATCGTTACGAAATATTTTCTTTTTAGTCTTCCTTTTCCATTTCATCTCTGGCCGTTCGGCCATTCAGTTTTCGCTAGATTATTTTCTTGTTTGTTGTCTTCTGTCATTTTTACATATTTTTTCTTTTTCTTTGCATTTCAAAAATCTTCTTTCAATTTCTTCTTTTACTTTTGCATTTTATTCTTCTTAATGCTTGTCTTTATTTCTATTATCTTCTTTTTCTAACGTGGTTTTACTTATTGACTTCCTTTTGTTTGTTCTTTCTTAGTTTATTTTGTTTAGTTTTCCTTTGCATTTTTTCTGCTTTTTCTTTTTCTTTTCTTTTTGGCTTTTTCTTCTTATCTTTTTCATCCTTTTCTTGCTATTTCTTTTCTTCTATTCATTCTGTCTATCTACTAGAATAATTTCCACTACTTTCATACTTTATACTCGTTACGAAATTATTTCTGTCTATATCTAAAATTGATTAATTAAGCTTGTTTAATGTTAGCTTTTTTTCTGTCTTTATTTCCTTTTTTTTCTTTTTTCTTTCTTTCTCGTTCCTCGATTAATGTACTTTTCGTTCTTTCTTGCTTCTTTTATACTAGATTAATGTCAGTCAGTCAGTTATGCGCCATGGCGTGATACACACTTAGGTGATCATTTATCTTTTGATTCATGGCTGACGAGGCAGATTTTTTCCCTCAGTTGGTTGCCATTTCTTTCTGCGGTAGACCAGTTGCCTTCCAAGGCTATAGATTCTGGTCTGTCCTACTACTTACACAAAGCTTTTTGGTGGGAGATGAAGAGGATTCATACATTTTCTAAGGTTATTAGCACGTAAGCGAATGCAATGTATTTGACTGGATTTTGAACTCGGCTTTCCGATTTCACAATTCCAACCACTGTACCTCGAAGATTAATGTACATTTCTTTTTTCTTTCTTTCTTTATCTTTCCGAGATCTTTTGCCTTCCTTCCTTTTTCTTCCTTTCACTCATTTTATAATTTATACTAGATTTATGTATCTACATTCCTTCATTTCCTTTTTTCTTAATTTCTTTCTTTACTAGATTAATTTAAATTTCTTTCATTCTTTACTAGATTAACGTAACTTTCATTCTTTCTTACATTTCTTTTTTAATGTTGCTTTCATTCTTTTTTTTTATACTAGATTAATGTGACTTTATTCTTCTTACCCAGGAAACTTTTAATCTTGTTAATTTCTTTTGTCTGTATTTTTTCCTTTTTATCTATATTTTCATTTACTTCTTTTCTGTGTTCATTTTTCTTATATATTTCTTATTTCTTTCTCATATCTATCATTCTTCTTTTTTGTTATTAATTTTTACTTTCTTTCTTATATATTTACGCGTTCATTTTGCTTTATTTTTTTTTACTTTCTTATTTACCCAATTAATTTATTCGTTTTTATTCTCTTTATTTTTGGATTTGACTTATTTCTTTTTTTCATTTGTTCCTTATTTTCTCTTTGTTTGGGCCTGAAAACATTTGGCCCAAATACGAAAGGTCTCTTCCTTTCGATAAAAGATGTATCTTTCCTATTTTTCCATTTTAAACTCATTTTTTCGTAATTTTGTCACATTTAGAGAACTGGGAAATATTCTTGTTCATCGTGTTCTTCTGTTTATTTATTTATTTATTTTTTTGCTTCGTGTTCTTTTTCTTCTTCTTCGAATTCTTGCTCTTGTTCTTCTCGTTCTTCTTCTTCTCCTTCTGCATTTTCTGATTCTTGTTCTTGTTCGGCTTCTTCTTCGTCTTCTTCTCAATACTCTTCTTCTTGCTCGTGTTCATCTTCTTTTTCGTGTTCTTCTTCGTCTTCTTCCCCATGTTCTTCATGTTCTCATTCTTGTTCGTTTTCTTAGTCTTTTTCTTCATGCCTTTCTTGCTCTCGTTCTTGTTTGTTTCCATCTTCGTCTTCTAATTCAAGATCTATTTCTTCTTCTTCTTCTTCTTCTTCTTCTTCTTCTTCTTCTTCTTCTTCTTTGTGTTCTTATTCTTGTTCGTCATCTTCTTCTTCTTCTTCTTCTTCTTCTTCTTCCCGTTCTTCTTCGTCTTCTCCTTCATGGTCTTCTTGTTCTCGTTCTTCTTCGTCCTTTTCTTCATCTTCTTTTTCATGTTTTTCTGGTTCTCGGTCTTTTTCGTCTTCTTCTTCTTTATATTCTTCTGATATCCGTTCTTCTTTCTCTTCTTCTTCGTCTTCCACTTTATGCTATTCTTTTTCTTGTTCTTTTTCTTCTTCTTCTTCCTCTTATTCTTCATGTTTTTCTAGTTCTCTTTCGTTTCCTCCTTCGTTTTCTCCTTCATGTTCTTCTTGTCCTCGTTCTTTTTCCTCTCCATCTTCCATTTCTTCTTAATGTTCTTCTGGTTCTCGTTCTTGTTCGTCTTCTTCTTCATGGATTTCTTGTTCTTGTTCGTCTTCTTCTTAGTCTTCTTCTTCATGTTCGTTTTTCTCGTTCTTTTTCGTTTTCTTCTCGTCCTCTTCTTCATGTTCTCGTTCTTTTTTTCTTTTTCCTCTCCTCTGTCTTGTTTTTCAGGTTGTCGTTCTTTTTTGTCTTCTTCTTCGTCTTCTCCTTCATGTTCTTTTTTTCTTTTTCTTGTTCTTCTTCTTGTTAGCCTTTGCTTCATGTTCTTCTCGTTCTAGTTCGTCTTGTCTTTCATGTTCTTTTCCTCGTTTTTGTTCGTCTTCTCCTATATGTTCTTTTTTTCTTCTTCTTGTTCGTCTTCTCCTTCATGTTCTCCTCGTTCTTGTTCGTCTTCTTCTTCATGTTCTTTTCGCGTTCTTGTTCGTCTACTTCACCTTCCCCTTCTTGTTATTCTTTTTCTCGTTCTTTACGTCGTCTTCTTTGTCTTCATGTTCTTCTTCTTCATCTTCTTCGTCTTCATGCTCTTCATTTTCTACTTCTCCATTTGCTTGTTTTTCTTCTTTTTAGTCTTGTGGCTTATCTTTTTTCTCGTTCTTTTTATTCTTGTCCATGGTCTTGTAGTTCGTGTTCTTGTTCTTTTTTTTTCTTCTTCTTAAGCAATACTGTTCTTCCCATAGAGATGGCCAAAGTGAAGCTTCACTAAATAATTCTCTGCAAATGAATATAGTTTTCAAACATTTTTAAGATACAGGCCCGGCCAAATTCATCCCAAGTTTAATTAATCGATTATGATTTTTGTGTCTCCTCATCTATCACTCTCACAGCAATTAAATAAAAAGCTCAACTATTCACTGCGTCTCCTCTGACTATGAGTCAATCACAGATTCTTTACAGAACAATAATTTTTCATTCGTTTTATACACAATTCATGGCGAAACCAACAGCAACGGGGAAGGATACGCAAATCCGTATTTACTACATTTCCAGAATTACGAGAGACAAATCCTAACAAAATTAGTGTGGGACTTTTTAAGAGCTCTTTACTTTCGAAGATTTATTTCATTACTTGCCTCTTTTATTTTTAAATATATCTTTTTGAGTATTTATTTTCAGTTCAATGCTATATCTGTTGCAGTCCCATGATTTTGCTCAATGAAATATGGACCAGGCTGTGTGGGTGACCACCGCTATCGATCACGTAAGAAAACAAATCATTGGTTGATGACATTAATGGCGGTTAAGTTCGATATCTTTTGAGCAAATATTTCATTGTTTTTCGGCATTTGTACTCGATTTGCGTTTGGGTTAAACGAATAACAAATAAATAAAATCTATTTTCGAATTGGGATTTTTTTTAAATGTTTTGTTTCATTCATTTACCATATTATTAAACTTGTTCTTTCTTTGTTTTTCCTAAAATCTTCATTTCCTTAGATTTTGCTGAAGAGAGTAGAAATTCTGGAAGATGTCTTTAAGTTATTTAATGATTTTCATTCCTGTTTTTTCTTATTTCCTTCTTTCTTTCTCCCTTTTTTAATCTTCATTTATATGTCCTTTTTTTCATGCCCCTTTTTTATGCGTTCATTCTCTTCAATCCTCATTTATTTCATTCTTTATTCCTTTATTTCGTTTATAGTCTTTTCTACTTTCTTTCGCTTTGATTTCTTTTTTGTCGTTTTCTTCTTCCATACTTCCTTTCTTGCCTTTAACTTTAAGCTTGTTTCTTTCTTGTTTTTTTAGCGGAATATCAACTCCTTATGAGTCATTTAATGCCTAAAATTAATCTTCTTGGAAACATTTGTTATTTTCTTTAAACATTTATTGCAGGTAATTTTTTCGTTTTTACAAAAATGTATTGCTGGTATTTTTATTATAATTTTATTTATCTTCATATTGTTTTACACCAGTTATGAGTTTAACTATTTACCCATAGCTAATATCGTAACAGGTGTTAGGATTCCGGGTCAGGGTGGATCAAGGAACAATAGCAATTAAGAAGTGGTTCCACACTCCTCAAAACTTCCAATTTCCCGATCAGAGGCTTTGCTGCCGGATATAGTTTATCGTCATACCCAGGACGTTTTGATTTAAGTGCAATCTATTTTTGGTAATTTAGTTAACTTTTCTCTTGTTTTCTTCTTATTCACTCCTTTCTTTTTCTTTCTTTTCTTCTCCTCTTAACAGGGATATGTTTTGATTTCCTTTAGTTTCTTTTTGTATCTTTCTTTTCTCGTCATATTTGTTTCATTCTCTCTGACTCCCTTCTTTGAAGCAATATATGTAATTTTCCTTCTTTTACCTCTCAGCAAAATAAGTTCTTTTCATTTAACTTCATTTTTTTATGTTTTCATAAAAAAAAATCAATATTTTGTTATTTCTCTCTTTCATTTTTTTTTCATTCATTCTTTCGTTTTTGACAGAAATATATTTAAACCAAAAACCCATCTTATTTTAAGAATTGCTCGAAAGCAAAATATTAAATTCAATACAGAAAGCGCAGATAATCTATAAATTTCCACATGAACTAAGAATTATAATGAAGAGATATTAATAAATACTAACGGGTTTTTTAAATGTCACTAATTTTCATTCATTTCTTATATCATGAGAAATGACAACTTAGCGTAAAACGTACTTATGATTCTTGATTAAGAATACACACACACATCGATTTCTTTCTTGAGATAAAAACGAGAAAGGCGAAACGCATAAGCAAATTTAGTTTCAATGAATCGGTTTTCCAATATCTGTCTATATCTCTGAGATGATGCATTATGTAGATTATTTACATTATTAGGACTCTTGTCCTCATCTTTTTCGCCATATTTATTACAACGTTTCGGCCGTTGTACGCCCCGGCCTTCTTCAGGTGTTTGGAATGTCGAACTGAACCCTTTATTTCGCTCGCTGGGGTAGACTGTTCTAGTTCCACGTACCATGTTTAATGGATGTCAGTTACCAGTTACCAGTTTCCAAATTATTTTTATAGTTCAACAAACCTGATCAATCATTAATGTTTTGTTTGTTGAAGCAACATTGTTGTCACCCCAGATTTTAAAAATTAAAGTTTGTTTATTTTTAAATTAAAAATTCAAATTTCATATCGAAGAATCATACAAACAACTTGCATTTTGATTTACTTTCAAAACAAAAGCATATTTAAATTTTAAAGTGGTCTGCGTATTACTCCCATCTGTGACCAGTGTCTTAAAGTCTGCAAATAAAACAGTCATATAAATGAACCCAGCCGACATTAGATAATAATACGCACACACAAAAAGAACCTTTATCAATAGCCAATTTTCTCTAGGTATTTAAAAAGAAATCCAAACAATTTGTAAATCTAAAAACTAATTTTAAAATCGACAAACAAATTAAAATCAGAACCAGATAGGAACTGTACCAGTTAATATCATAATGGATGATCAAGCCTTAAGTCTTCCGGTTGACCTTCACTTATCCGATGGCAGGTCGCAAGAAAAGCTCCTGTCATAATTTGAACTTCTCAAACGATTGGATGATGGTTAGAATTTGCACATTACAGCATTCACCAGTGGCAAACACAAAAGAGGGAAAATTAACAGGAGATAAGTAATAACTGACATCCATTAGACATGACACGTGGAACTAGAACAGTCTACACCAGTACAACGGCTGAAACGTTGTAATAAATATGGCGACAAAGATGAGGAAATTGTCCGTATAATGTAAATAATGTACATAATACCTCATCTCAGAAATATAGGCAGGTACTGAAATGCTGAAACGTAGTAATAAATATGACGAGAAAGATGAGGACAATAGTCCTAATAATGTAAATAGTGTACATAATACCTCATCTCAGAAATATAGACAGATACTGAAAGGCCGAAACGTTGTAATAAATATGGAGACAAAGATGAGGACAATATTTCGAATAATGTAAATAGTTTACATAATGACTCATCTCAGAAGTATAGACAGATACTGAAAGGTCGAAACGTTGTAATAAATATGGCGACAAAGATGTGGACATAGTTCGAATAATGTGAATAATCGGTTTTCCATTTGACATATTTCTACAAAACTTTGTTGGTATTCTATATCCCATTTTATAACACACATATATGTGTGTAGTGGTGCAATATTCATTTGTAATTAAGGTGATATTAGTAAAATCAAAATGTATACGGACATAAAATGTATTTACGTTGAGGCAACAATTCAATCTCTCTCGTAATAAATAGAAACAAAACAGCTATAATATTATATGATAAATACTTAATGCATGCATTCTTAAATACTTAACAAAAACAAGATGCGGGTTACCAACAAACAAATTGTCGACTGGAAAACACACACACGCGCACGCATGCGCGCACAGACGCAACACACAATTACAAATATACATTATCATCTGAATCTCACGGAACAAAAATGAGTATAAACTTTCATAAATAAAATAATATGAACAGTTTTTAATTAAGCTTGGAATCCGTCAATTTCTTGAACTTTTGGATGAACATTTTGTTTCTCGTTCAAATCGGAACATCAGACATTAAACAAGCAACACAAAATGAAAAATATCAGAATTCTTTGTTTTTCTCCATATATGGTGAAGGTTTGCATTTGATCTATATCTTATTGGATGTACATGTGTTTCCTAAACAACACACACACACACACACACACACACACACACACACACACACACACACATATATATATATATATATATATATATATATATATATATATATATATATATATAAGAGTGCATATTGAATTTCAAACCGAGACATAGCAGTCTTTCTCAAGTTAAAAGCAATCGTCTGGCTATGACGATTGCGTTTAACAAGGAACAGAATGTCGCCTCTGGGGGTTGAATTCAATGTCCATATTTATATTTACATACTCTCCATCCCTGATATTGATATAACCCATATCATAGCAAACATTAAATGTAATTTTTATATATATATATATATATATATATATATATATATATATATATATATATATATATATAGCATACATTAAAGCTAATTTATCATATATATATATATATATATATATATATATATATATATATATATATATAGATAGATAGATAGATAGATAGATAGATAGATAGATACACCTGATGAGCCAGACAAACCTACCTATGTTTCACCTAAACGGATCGTCACGGAAGGAAATCCTTACTTTCCTGACGATCCGTTTAGTTGAAACCTGGGTAGGTTTGTCTGGCTCACTAGGTGTATCTAGGTCTGCTCTACGGTTGTATTGAACGCTTTGTTAGTTTGTTAGTTAGTTGTTTACTCGTATCGGGGTTTTTTCTTTGGGCTTCCGACCTGTATCTGTGCGATTTTTTGTCGACAGAAGTTCATGTTTGTAGCTCTTTCTTTTTTTAAAACATTTTCCCTCGAGATTGATTTAATTAGCAAATCAAAAATTCGAGGGTTTTTCAAAACGAGTCTAGTCATCTATCTATCTATCTATCTATCTATCTATCTATATATATATATATATATATATATATATATATATATATATATATATAATGAATCATTCTTACAAAAAACTAAGCTAGTAAATTAATGACATAAAATTGCGAAATCCCTTGGCTAATAAAATTTTAAAGGTGCATTAACCTAACAATCACCCAATGAAATTAGTGATAATTGTTTTTTAAATTTATAAGCTGTATTCAGTCAACTTCAGGCATGGAAATTATTTTGTTTTTGGTAAAATTCAGGTAGCATCCGAGACGGTAAAATATAATGCGAGTTGAAATATATCTTTTGAAATGTGTTATTGTTATTTAATAATTATTTAATAAAAGGCACTAGTTCTGTTTCATTTTCATGCGAATTTTGGTTCCAAATTCGCTTGAAAAGGAAACAGAACTAGTGCTTTGAATTTAATTATATAACTGAATTTGAATGTGCCAGTTTCTGTTTTTGAAACATAGTGATTCCTGTGTAGCGATGGAATCATATTTTTCAATCAGTTAATTTTTAATATGTATATATATATATATATATATATATATATATATATATATATATATATATATATTGCAGTTTGTGCTGCTCTTGAGTAATATATAATACTCCTTCCTTCATTAGACGATCCATTGTAATCTAAGTTCATCTAATTCATATATATATATATATATATATATATATATATATATATATATATATATATATATATATTATCAACAGAGTCGTGTTTCTGTTTATTATTTCTGTTTTTGCACATTATCCCGTTCAGTACTGTGTCTTTCTTTTTCGATTCCAAATTTTCTCCTTCATGATTCCTTTCCATTCAGTTCTTTCTATCTCCATTTTCACTCTATCTGTTATTAAATATTTTTATTTATTGACTGTTCTTACATTTTCTAAACCTTCTAAGACGAAATGATTTGCCTTCGGGAAATAACTAAAGTTTCGGGCCGCTTCTTATAATGTTTTTAAGGTTGCTGAAAAGAAGGTCGGGTGGATTTTCATGGCTGAGACAGTGAAACATTTCAGAAAAAAAAATCATCCTACTTAAAATATAAAAAAAAATATCTTTAATAAGATAAGCAGATCAAACAATAAAAACTAGTAAATTCTTTAAAAAAAAAGACGTAAGAGAATAAAAATAGCAAAGAAACTTTGGAATTTAACAAAAGAATTAAGAATAAAAACTACAATAAAAATATAAAAGACATTCAAATATAAAAATAACAGAAAAATTTGATCAATTTCCAGTGATTAGAGGTTGGTATTTGTTATCGATTTCTGGATAAAGTTGATGAATCGCTAAAAACAGTGACTAGGGAATTGTCTTGGTCGATTGTGAAACCGGGAAACAAGGAGTTCTGAATGTCATTAACGGTCGGTAACTCGGCCAGGGGGATAAAGAAAGGAAATTGAGTAAAAAGGCAAAATAAAAATAAAAATAAAAATAAGATTGTAAAAAGAAAAGGAAGAGAAATAATAATAATAAAAAAAAACAACAGTAAACAGTCGAAGCATCGGGTGACAGAAGGAAAACAGTGTCTTTGCTGGCTGTGTTCAGTCGTGTGACGGTTTTACAAAACAGGGTGCTAATTTAGAGTTTTTGTATTTTTACGTAGTTTTTCCCTTGTTTGTTTATTTAGATTTGCTTATTTCTTGTATTCCAATTTATTTTTTATTTATTTTTTGTTATGCTCTGTTATTGCACTTTTTTTGAAGGGTTCGAATCTAGTCATGATCCCTAATGCAGGCAAAGTTAATATGACAGTCTTTATATATATATATATATATATATATATATATATATATATATATATATATATATAAAAAGACACACATACATACTCTTGGGCCTCAGAAAACCAGTACAAACATAGGGAACACCTTCCTCTCTCTCTCTCTCTTTCTCTCTCTCTCTTTCTCTCTCTCTCACACACACACAGAAACACACATACACACACATATAATATATATATATATATATATATATATATATATATATATATATATATATATATATATATTATTCGTCTCTCGATAATTTTTTCTTGTTTATATTCTCATACTGATGTGGTTAGTTCCGCATTATTGCTAGGCCCCTATCTTTTTTTAAGTTTTTTATTTGACTCTTTGTCTCCATGACAGATTTCTTTTATTGATCCTTATTTTGATGACTTCTTTTCTATCTGACGGTGTCGTTTTTATTTCCACTTTTATGTTTTGTCTTGTCTTAAAACGTTTTTTCATTTTTTTTCTTTCTTTTTTAGTCCTTCCTCAATGCCAACTTCTCTTTTCACTTTTACTTTTGAACAATTTTTTAATATCCACTTTTAAAATTACTGGGTTTTAAAGACACAGCTAAAATCACGTTTCCATGGTTAGCTGTGTCTTTAAAACCCAGTAATTTTAAAAGTTACTCCAAAATTTGCTTGAGGGTGAAATGGAACTAATGTCTTTAATTTAATTGCAAAATTAAATTCGTGGCATTTAGCTTCCATTTTTTAAACATGGTTAGAACTGTGTAGCGGAAAAATCATATTTTAAATCAATTAATTTATAATATTAATGCTCTGTAAATTTACATTGAGAACTATTTTGTAAAAATAAAAATATCTATAAGAACACCTGATTATATATCTTACTGTTCTTTCTTTATTTAAAACACACACACACACACACACACACACACACACACATATATATATATATATATATATATATATATATATATATATATATATATATATATATATATTCTAGACTCGATGAATTATTAATTATAATTATCTCAAATCCTCCTAATTTCTCACTTGTATATCATTGCTTGAACCGACTTCTAATGCTCTGGACTGAGCGGCTTGGTGATAGTAGTCGTAGCTGGTGTGGGCACAGTCCTATTGCTAAAAGCGAAACTGGAAAATCAATTTCATTTACAATGCTTGTGTCAATCCGTGGAATAGACTTCAGACACTTTACGGGAGTGCCGCATGAGCAGATCGTATTACAGATTGCAAAGGTACATCCTTCAATTTCCAAATTTCTGGCGGAGTGAATTGCACTGTGAAGACAATAGCAAGGATTGACCCAAACATTGTAAATGAAGTTGGTTTACTAGGACTATTCCATTAGCCGTCTATATTTGTGCCAGATATGAAATCACAAGTCATTGTGACCGAGGGTTTTTAGGATACTGGCCTTGGTGAAAATGGATATTATGCGAGATTATTATGCTCTCTCTCCTAGAAAGGTAGGCTCGCTGGGTTTTGAACAAAGAGAAATATGCCTGAGAAGATAGGCTAGTCATCCAAGAAGTAGTGTGTGCTCTGAATCGAGTAGCCGGTTATTATAATAACTTTGATGTTCAGTTGACTGAAACGATATATATATATATATGTCATTGGTTTATCGAAGCTTTCAATTTGATAACATTCAGGAATGTTATCAGGTTTGTGGAAAGATCAGTCAAATCTCACAATGTCATAATTTCAATCTCAAAAAGTAAATTCATCGAATAATATTCTTCTGAAGAATAATGTTTAGATCGTTTTAAGATATATATATATATATATATATATATATATATATATATATATATATATAATTGGTGTATGCGGAATGAATTCCAATAACCAACAATTACTATTCTTAAAAGAGTGCTCAATACAAAGTAGAGCAGATATAAGTAATTTTATAAAAAAAAAATATATATATATAACATAAATATGTTATAAAATCACTACAAAAATAGCCATTTTGTTTCAACACCTCGGTGTCTTATCTGTATGTTGAAGATAAAATAAATGGTTTTAAAAGCTTCAAATTAAACAAATTTATGTTACAATCTTTTTAATTTATATATATATATATATATATATATATATATATATATATATATATATATATTATTTACAATATTTGTTGTCTTTGATTGCCATACTCACGATGTTTCGGCCATTATACTCTCAGGCCTTCTTCAGGTGAATGGAATTTCGAACTGAACCCTTCATTTCGCACACCGTGGTACACTATTTTAGTTTCGTGTGAAATTCCTTTTTCAGATGTCTCAGTTATCACTTTCAATCAACTCTCCAAGTTTATTTTCACCACAGCATGAACCAGGTATTGAACTCAAAACTCTATGCGTGAAGTCAGTGTGTTTCCAACGAATTCATCCACTGGGCCATGTTTCCTTCACAAAATACATAAATAAGTACAATGCCTCACCCAGAAGTAAAAGCACATATATATATATATATATATATATATATATATATATATATATATATATATATATATATATATATATATATAATGTGTGTGTCTTTGTGTGTGTGTATGTATGTTTCTATCTATCTAACTATCTAACAAATCAGCCTATTCATATCAATGTATATACATCTATTATTGTCTATCATTATTCTAAGGCAGTTTCAATCATTCAGTACTTATCTAGCTATCTAGCTATAAATAACTTTATCTGTTTCAGTTTAGCTCTACATATCTTATTCATATCTATCTATCTATCTATTTCAGCTTACTTCTACATATCTATCTATCTATCTATTTCAGCTTACTTCTACATATCTATCTATCAGATTCAGCTTATTTCTACATACCCATCTTATTCATATCTATCTATCTATTTCAGCTTAGTTCTACATATCTATCTATCTATCTATCTATCTATCAGATTCAGCTTATTTCTACATACCTACCTTATTCATATCTATCTATCTATCTATCTATCTATCTATCTATCTATTTCAGCTTAGTTCTACATATCTATCTATCTATCTAGATATCAAATTCAGCTTACTTCTACATACCTATCTTATTCATATCTATTTCAGCTTAGTTTTACATATCTTTCTATCTATCTATCTATCTATCTATCTATCTATTTCAGCTTACTTCTACATATCTATCTATCTATCTATCTATCTATCAGATTCAGCTTACTTCTACATACCTATCTTATTTATATCTATCTATCTATCTATCTATCTATCTATCTATCAGATTCAGCTTATTTCTACATACCTACCTTATTCATATCTATCTATCTATCTATCTATTTCAGCTTAGTTCTACATATCTATCTATCTAGCTAGATATCAAATTCAGCTTACTTCTATATACCTATCTTATTCATATCTATTTCAGCTTAGTTTTACATATCTATCTATCTATCTATCTATCTATCTATCTATCTATCTATCTATCTATCTATCAGATACAGCTTAATTCTACACACCGATCTTATTCCTATCTATATGTCAGAATCAGATTGTTTCTTCATATCTCTCTTATTCATACCTATCTATCGGTTTCGGCTTATTTCTGCATACCTATCCTATGTATGTATGTATGTATGTATGTATGTATGTATCTATCTATCTATCTTGAGCTTTCAATCTTTCTTGTTCTAATTTTCCCTTCGTTAGTTTTTTTCTATTCATTTTAATTTGACTTGCTTGATCCGTCGATTGATAAATTTCTACATTTCTCTAATTTAATTATTTGCATCCAGTTCCTTCCTTCCGTCCTTCCTTTCTGTAGAACCATTTTCTCCATTTCAAGAACGAATTATTTCTCGCTGTTTTTTTTTTTTTTGTCTTTTTTTTTCTTTTCATTTCTCTCACTTTGTTTTTGTTGGGAGGTTATCCGTTATTTTTTTTATTTTTTTTTTATTTTTTTATTTTTTATTTTTTTTGTTCTGCTAAAATTTCTTCCCTCGTTCCCGCTACTAATTACTTTTTTTTTCAAGGTCCATGTTCGGATCTGGGATGGAATGTCCGTGCGTTCAAAATAGAAGATCCCTTTTCGTGCAATGAATAACAAGAAGCACACGAATAGAAAACAACTCCAGAATACATTGGCTCGTAAGCTGAACGAGACACATGCTCAACTGTCTTTGTCTTACTGGCGACCAAACCGTAAAAAAAAAGCATTAGAAGTATCCTCGTCAGATACCAAAAAAAGAACACTGAACTGATATATCTTATCAGTGCTCCTATATTGCAGTGAATGTTGGGCAATCCCATCACACCTGGAAAAGAGTCAAAACAAACGAAATACAGGGTACGATTGGTAACTTGTCACCATTTTATATTTTTAATTTTACGCAGGCGGTTTTTTTTTTATTTTGTCGGCTGCTCAATATTTTAGATTCATTTGGGCACAGTGCAATTCACTTCGCTGCAAATTTGGAAATGACATGCAGTACTGCTTGCTATTCATGCAGGAAGCTCCTATTCGAATATTTCAGAGTGGTTGAGTTACAATCCTAAGTCAGCATCATGTTTGGAATGATCTCTAGTGATAGCGACGTTATGTCTCCATTCATCTTCACCCTTACAAGGCCTTAGAATAAATCAAAGTTTTACATCAAGTGCATTGAGGAGATTGTGCAGCCTGAGATAAAAATCAAAAGGTAGCTGCTTGAAGACTCTACGTCTGGCAACATGACTCTGTACCATTCCACACAAAGAGGAGAACCCAGTCATCACAGCCAGAGACTTTCTGCAATTACATCACCCCTTAATTCTGGCTACCTAACACCCCAAACGGAAACCCCTTTGATTATTATGTTGGGCACAATTTAAAAAGAGGCCATGAAAACTCCTTGTAATTTACACTTTTAAGATATTTTCATGTAATTTTAGTAAATATATGTCAGTGTTATTTTCATTTTTACTTCAAGTAGAAGAAAATTTATCTATCGCACGCTGTATAGTCCTACAGAGGGATACTGAGAATAGCATGTACTGAACACGTGAGCATCAACTAGGTTTTATTAAAAGTGGCAATAAAAAGAACTGTAATAAAAAAAAACACAGTTAAAATTTCTAGGGCACAAAAGGCAGAAATGATGTATAAAAACAATAAACAGCATTTAATAACATCAATTATGTGTACAATCACAATGCGCTAACCGCTTTTTGAAAATAAAAACATTCCTATAACTCTAGATGCATAGATAAGAAAAGCATTTATATATTCATCTAAAAGTGAAAATAAAAACATTCTTAATAATGGCTAAAAAAATTAGCCAAAACTAATGCCATGGAGGACATTCAGAGAATTTCAACAAAATTTAGGTCCATAAAAGAATAAAGAACATAACAATTCAAAGAAAAAAAAAACATTTAGCCGCTGTACCTTTCACAGTAATTTGTAATGAAACTTGTACAGGAGAATTATATATATATATATATATATATATATATATATATATATATGTATAATATTAGTGGTAAATATACACATACATAAGTGTATATACATAGGTGCATGCACATACATGTATATTTTTTGGAATAGAAAATTCCAAGAGGATAGAATCCAGGTAGAACTCAATGTCCAGGACAGAGTAAGGATATAATAAAAAGGCTTAAACACTAATATTCCATGGTCATAATTTATTCCATTGGTATCGTAAATACGATCCAATTGCTCAGACCTACAAATTCGTTTTGAATTTGTAGGTCTGATGAATTGGATCGTATTTTGTCTAAATTATTCAATGAGACATGACCTACTGAAAACATGCTGCCAAAATATACGCCATATATATATATATATATATATATATATATATATATATATATATATATATATATATATTAAAGAAAAACAGACCACATTAAGGTACCATTATAATAATTTATTTCCCCAGAGACCTTTTAAAGGACGCCGGATCATCAGATAGTACTTCTAAAAATGAAATGAAACGAAAAATGAAATTAAAATTGATGGGTAGTGTAAGTTTTTGTAATTTAACAGAGAGTGTAAAAGGAGTAGTTAAAGAGACATGGTAGATTTTAGGAAGGGATTAATATCATATCTCTCTCAATCATACTTAGTATTGGGGGAGGAGGAGTGACCAGACCTTGACCTATTTAGACGGGTAACATAACGGAAGTGATATATTGAAATGGGAGGGGAGAAGGGAGAAAAAAAGGAAATAAGAAAAAGAAAGAAGAGGGAGAGGGAAGTAAAGACAAAGAGGATGTAATTGGTTTTAAGAAATTTATGTAAAGAATAGATTTTAATGCTTGACAGTAATTTAGCTGTCTAAAAAATATAAGAATATATATGGAAGATATATAAGAATATATATAGTAGATATATCTGTTATATATATATATATATATATAGCAAAGTAAACCTAAAGAGCCAGACAAACCCAGTTAATCGGATGTCTGTTGCTTAATAATTTAAACAGTATATTGAACCTAAAAACCATGGTGTGTACAGAGACGATGGATTAGTTGTAGTTGACAAAAGTCAACATCTCCATTGTTTTTTTCAAAAATTCCTATTCAACTTAGACATAAAAATAAATCTAAAAGTTGCCAATTACCTAGATATTAGTTTAGATTTGCGGGATGGTACTATTTCACCATATAAAAAAGAGAATCAGCCCCGCAGTATATATACGTAGGCTTTAATCACCCAAGACATATATTAAAGCAGATAACTAAAAGCATTAATTATAGACTGTACACAAATTCATCGAATACGAATATTTTTAATGTTAACAAAATAATCTACGAACAGGCTTTAATGAAAAGTGGTCACAAAAGTAAACTGGAATATATTAATATAAATGATGACCATAGAACGTAAAACAAACATAGAAATAGAAGTAGAAATATATTATGGTTTAACTCACTATATAATTCTATGGGGAAAACTAAAATAGGCAAAGTGTTATTTAAAATTCTCGAAAAAAATTACCCACAAACTAGTGAATTGTATAAAATATTTAATAAACATTATGTAAAATTAAGCTATAGTGGCATGCCTAATGTGGCTAGCTTAATTTCCGGATACAACATGAGAAAAATTATGGATAAACTGCTTACAGCCCCTGCCAAATGTAATTGTAGGGATAAGAATGCCTGTTCCCCTCAGGGAAAGTCCCAGCAGGCGTGCGTGGTGTACCAGTTAAAGATATACAAGGATAGACTTTACAATACCGAGGATAAATCTAAAGTATATATAGGATCTACCCAAAACAGTTTTAAAAAAACGATATTATAACCATATTTCTATACCTTTTCAACTTCAAAATGATAATAATCAACTTCAAAATAGATTTATTTCCAGGTAAAACAAATAACCAACTCCAAAATAGAATAATCAACTTCAAATGGATTAATCAGCTTGAAAATGGATTAATCAACTTCAAATTAGAAAACAATTCAAAATGAGAAATAATCAACTTCAAATTGGAATAATCAACTTCAAAATGAGAATTAATATAATACTAATAAATTTAATATGTATTCTTTTATTTTTACTTAAAAGGGATATAAAAAAGATAAACGTTCCTGAGAAATTCATTAGATCATCAAAGTTAATTACAGAGGGAAGTAATCTCTGTATTCCAGATACGAAGTTAGTGCAAGTCTCAGGGGAAATATTATTAATTGCCTCGGAGATCATCCCTTCTAACTTGCTGAGGCGGAATTCTTTAGTAGTTAAAGATTCCTGGCCATCACCTCTTAAAATCCCAAGAATTGAGTCTGCCATACTTCTTTTTACGTCAGCTTTAGTGAATGACCAAACTTTTTCAATGGGATTTAACATCGGACTATAGGGGGCAAGTCTGAAAATTTGGTGTTGCCTAAATTCATCCTCCTCCACAACTTCTTCAATTGAAGTATGGCAAGGGGCGTTATCAATAACTAAGACAACTCACCTTTCATAGATTTCATTTGCCTTTCTAAGGAACTCTCTGGTCCATTCTTTCGCATCCTCTTTTTTGAAAGAACCTCTTTTATTTTTATGATGAATTTATCCATTATTACGAATACATCCAATAACATGGATGTTATTTCCCCTGGATCCGGCCGCGAGTGTGGTGCACCTCGTGCCTTTTTTAGAGAGACCTTTACTTCTTGAAATATGGAGATTAAAATTGGTTTCATCCATATTAAGAATTAGCACACTTTGGGGCTGAAATTCTAATAAAGCTACTGCGTAAATCCTTACGTTTCACCTTATTGACATTATTATTGGCTGCTTCTGGTTAATAATGAACCGCTTTTAAAGTAAAGGCCATGGAGTCCAAGTGCTTTCTTATGCATTCTTTCGTCACACGAACCTTATACTTTTCGACCAACTTATTTACAATGTCTTGAAGAGTGAGCCTAGGAGAGTTTTCAATTAATTCGGCCATAAGATTTTTATGCACTTGCGTAATTTTATATTTTCTTGCTCCTCCCCTAGAGTCA